GGACGACCCGCTTTGCCTCTGAGCCACAGCCGCCCCAAACTTCAGTTAATTGTTAGCAGTTACCTATTTACATTTCCAGCAGACATAAAGCAGTTTCTAGAATTATGATGAAATATCCAGTAGCCTGACAATTTGTCATAATCGTGATATTAAACTCTGTGTTATGGGCTTATGAGTTTAGTTAGGCTCTCTGTTGCAGAGGCAATAAAAAAAAAAAAAAGTGATTTTGGATTTGTTACCTCAGGACATTACTGCCCTCTGGCATCAGTGAAGAGTTCCCATTAAACTGTGTTTTGCAATCTTAATAATTATTTTCAGGGATATTTGTTTTTGGTTGTGAGGTCCCACAACATTTCATTATTGTTTTTAAAAGTATGGATCATCCAGTTGGCTACATTCTTGGGATGTAGCTAATCTGGGCTTGGTTGTAACTAGGGATGTAACAATACACTTGATTTACTATTAGATACAGTTTACCATACTGGGTTCACAATACATTTATCTCACAATTTGTTTTAGTTTTTTACAAAATGAGTATGAAGACAAATTAGAACTGAAAGATTTTCTCAGACAAAATTCTATATATTTTCTCTTTTATTTTCTTCATCAAATTATAGTCCTTTTTTAATGTAGAATATAAACCATGCCAAATAATGCAGATATCTCTTTTTGTAGTGAAACTGAAGTCTTGCACATTCATACCACAGCTGATATGACTATTAATTTTTCATCTCACAATTTGAATCACACAATATACACCGATCAGCCATTGTGAGCACTGACAGGTGAGTGAAACTTTGATTTATCTGGACTTACATGGCTCTGCAAGGGGTGGGATTATAAGGCAGCAAGGAAAATTTTGGTTCCTTCCAGTTTGCTGTGTTAGGCACAAATCAGTGTGAGGTTTGAGCACTTTTTGAACAGGCCACTTGGATTGGTTGCCGGTTCGTAGGATCCTCCAGAACTGCAGCTCTTGTGGGGTGTTCTCGGTCTGAAGTGGTCAGTACCTATCAAAAATGACCCCAAAAACCAGGATGCCCAGGTGGTCATAATGTTATGGCTGATCGGTGTATCTTTACATTCCTACTTGTTTTCTACATACCAGTTTTCCATCTATACATAACATAGTTAAAAAATATCATATTCAATATTTTGTTTCATGAAATTGTATCAAAACACTGTATTGATTGTTGTGTTGTTAACATGTTGCAGGGATTGTGATAAATACAAATGCATATCCCAATGTCGTGGTTACATAAAAAAGTAGAATAACTTGAGATAGAAAGGAAATAAGGACAGAAAGAGGGGATGGTATGCAGCAATGGGCCACAGGCTGGAATCAGACATGGGGTGCTGGGGTAACAACTTCAGCCTTAGTACATGGGGCAAAAGCTCTACTAGGGCAACCCAAAGTAACTCTTACAAAGTAAGTTTTAGTCAGATTGTATGCCTATCTTGGTGTGTTCTTTATAAGTTTCCCTAGAATTAGATAAATAAAAAAACAAACACATATTTATCTTGTTGCTTACAGTAGCACAATATATTGAATCGTTACCCCTGTAATGTGATACGTATTGTAATGCCAGATTCTTGCCAATGCAAAGCCCTACAACAGAGCTGAGTATGTAACATTTCTGACCAGCTAATGAATGTTATGTCCAGTATTCACACTTCCTTTATCTTTGTTTCGGTCTCCATCAGGTCTTGAGAAATATAAAAAATATAAATACTATATCTATATATTTTATAAATATAAAATACTGTATCTGGCTCTTTGGCAGTTAAATGCTCATTTTTCTTCAGCAGATAGCGTACAGTGAATATATATTAGAAACAGTGCCTGCCACTGCTGGAAACAAGGGTTAGGGTTCAGGTCAAGTGCCAACACCAAAACAATGAGCTGAAAGAGGCTAAAAAGCTCTGTAGATAGGGACTCAGTTGGTTATCTGTGGGCTTTCACATACACATAATCATATAATCCATTGTTAGTAATATAAATATTGATTAGTAGCTTTTTAATGTCAATTATCCATGACAAATGCTGTACATATATGTTAATTTGTTTTACTTTCTATTATACCAAAATAATGCCTAAGTGAGTCAATGCTTCTTACTTTAAAAGGTATTTAACCTTTTAACCATACGTTTTGTAGTGTAACACACACTGATGCTTATTATTTGCTTCACTTTCAGTTATGTTGCACCTAATTATTTGTCACACCTGATTGACCTATGCTATTTACAGTATCTACAATCAATGCTGAGACATTTGAGAAGGGATTTGTTTTGCAGTGTAGTGCTGTATATAAAAAATGAAAATAAGTTACAGGTTGGGTTGTTACTGTTAGACACCTTACACATCTTACATAATGTACAGTGTACACTGAAACTCCCAGTGTATAACATGGATGTTATTTGTGTGATGTAGCAGGTAAACTGCCTAACTATCTCACTGACCACCAGAGAGACATTTACACACTGCTGCACTGCTGTAGCAACCTTTCTTTTAAATGATAAATATTGATCAAGGACATGAATAAATAAAAGTATTTAGCTTAAAGTAGCATTAATATTCTCTGGGATGTTTGGTAACAGGATACACCTCTGCCAGTCTTTATTATATAGATCTCCTTCTCTCATTAAGGATGTATGGATCAACTGCTTAATAATATAGATTCCTAAAGAGCAATTACATGGCTGCAACGACCTTCTGAGATCTGAGCAGCCACATTGAAAGCTAGACACTTCAATCAACTTATCTTAACTAAACACACACATATAGACACATGCACATAAAGCTCTGGTGCACATGACACATGATCTAGCCAAGGTTTCCACATCGCTGACTGACTGCTGTGAAATTGGATATTATTAAATTAAAGGTCAAAACAGCACACCTCAACATGGAGATTATTTTGTATTGCAGCTGTTTTTAAGTGGGGCAATATGTTTGCTGGTTCCCTTTATGAAGCTAACAATTTGTGCTGTAAGGAGCTCACATTTTATAATGTCAAAGGTCTGACCTTAAGCAGGAGCAAGGAAAACAGGAGTGACTGAATGTGTTTGTTGGTAGAAGCTGTGCATTAAGTTGATCGTTTCAAAGTAATTTCAGCCATTATGCTTGTTAGTTTAGACCTCCACATTTGTTGTAGAAGACAACTGCTCTTAGAAGAGATGAAGATGAGGACCTTTGCTGTTAGCAAACATCAAGTAAGAGAGGGAAGAATAGGATCAACAAGGATGAAACTGCTCCACAGTCAGTTTTATTTTAGGCACAAAATAAAAAAAAGCCACAAAAAAAAATTACTTTCAAAAAAATGTACAGAACAAAGTAAAAAACAAAAGAGAAGCAGTGTATATGCTGCATATGTTTAGACTCACTCATCTCCATGTACTCCGGGCTGAGGCCAACAAAAGGACCCAGGATGTGGTCTTTCTCGTGGCGCTGCAGGGTTTTGTTCAGCTCCTCCTCTTGCTTTGAGTCCAAATCTGACTTCCTTCTTCGGAGCAGTTTCTTTAGCTTCCTGCACATACCAAGAGCCAATGAAAATAGCACATTATAGCACATGTTTATAAAGCCTGTAATACACTGTTCTTTAACATAAAAGCTTAACATACACAAGCACTTTTTTTTTAGGTCCCCTAAATCATCTCAGACACATCTTTGTAATTTCTGTACTTGTTACGTCTCAGCAACCAACATATCTATGATAACCTAATATTGGCTGATATTATTAACCTGGCTAATTTAAAGGACCAGTGAGCTTCCAGTGTTCAAGTTACAGATTACAACCCCCTCGCATAACCCTCCCATTGCAAGTGTGAAGAAGAAACTACAAGTTAAAGACCCTATCTAAGAGTGGTTTTTTTGTCCCATTTGGGCTACTGTAAGACATGGGCCAGTTCAACCTGGGCAGACTCTGTAGAAGAGGACCTGCTCCCTTTGTAGATAAAAACTACTTACTCAAAAAAACAAAAACACTGTTTAAGAGTATTGATTCAACTGTGCGATCATTTTGGAGGATGTGTGTGGGTGTTTGTGGTGTTCTTGAACTGAATTTCATCATCATATTTTTTAATCATATTTCATTTCATTTTGAATATTCTTTACATTTTTTGATCCATCCTCATTTTAGTGAAACATGACATCTGGAATATTGGTAAATAATTGGTGATATTTTAATCTGAATCTCTACCACTGATGGATATAGGGTGGTTGTAGCTCAGGAGGTATGGCGTGTCGTCCACTAACTGGGAGGTTGGTGGTTGGAGCCCCGGCTCTTCCCACTGCATGTCGAAGAGTCCTTGAGCAAGATACTGAACCCCACATTTCTTCCAATGCTTTGCATCAGTGTATGAATAAATTACTTTCTGTTTGTGATGGCCTTTGTCATCACTGTATAAATGCGTGTGAATGGGTAAACGTGGCATGTAGTGTAAAGTGCTTTCAGTGGTTGGAATACTAGAAAGGTACTATATAAGTACAGTCCATTTACCATATCAGCTGTATAAATTCTAACTGTGGCATAGGTTATAACTTTGGTTTTGGGGGACTATGTGATAAAACATCCATTACAATGTACTGTGAGGATAAAGCGAGACAGAGAAAATTGTAGGCTGACAGAGTTCAGCAAGGTGTTGTCTGGTTCCTGGGTAAGTGTGTCTGAAAACCAGACAGGCATTTAAATGATTCCTCTCTGATGCAAGTGCAGCTGAGTGGGTGTGCATAATTTGTTCTGTGCCCATGTATTGTGATCTGTGAACTTTTGTTCAGTTTGTGTGTGTGTTAGCGTCATGGGAAAGTGCATGTTTGAGCATGAAAGTGTATGCTCTGCACTCACGGTATGCATCTCGAACAAGTTGTTCTGGATGAGCTGCTTGCCAAGCATGGTGATACACAACTGGATGCACAGCTCCATGAGGCAGCCTGCATGGGCCCACACTGAAAAGAAATAAGTGAACAAGTGTCAGACAGTGACAGGAAATTAAACTGAGGCAGGAGAGCCTGTAGGGTGTCACAGTGGGGGTAGGAAGTGAAGTTAAAACAAGTCACTTTATATATAGAGAAGATAGAAAAGCTCCATGTTATGGAAGTTCAGGCCTGTTGCTATTAAAATCTTGTATGAAAAAAGGTAAAAAAAAATATTTGTGTAATATACAATAAAACTGCAATCCAAAAATCAACATTTTTTTATTACTCATGTTTACTTGGAATTACACCAAAACTAAAACAATCTTAGTAAAAATGGAAAAAACAATTTTTCAACTGCATATAATCTTTACAGCTAATCCTGCATGTTAATTAGGTTTTTATTGTGTGTCTTGGAATTTGCCATGGGGTATTTATACAATTAGTTTTAACTGTCGGTAAGAAAATAAGACAATTCGTGTTTCTTTTGTTATTGCTAGTTACTCCATGTGGCGACCAAAAAGTGGGCATGTTCCAGTACCGTGTTGTGTATCTACGACCAGATAATTATCTTATTCCTCTTGTACAAGAGCTACCAATTGTTGTCAAAAACTATAAACATTATGACACGCTGTTACCTGGATGTCATGTTCCTATCAATCCCATGAACATAGTTTATTTAATTGAATCGTTTAAGTAAAATTTGTTTTCAAAACCCTAGTATATTGTTTGCATACACTGATTCAGCCATAACATTATGGCAACCTTGGGCACCTGGTGGTAGAATGTTATACGCAACAACTGCCTATTGCCTGACCCCTTTCTATCCAGAACAGCATTTAACCTCTATTCAGCAGTTTGAAGCTACAGTAGTTCGTTCTTAGGCAGACCAACGGGGCCCAGCCTTTCGTCCCACATGCATCAGTGAGCTTGCCCCCCCATGACCAATGTCTGTGTTACTGCCTTTTTCCCCTTCTTGGCCAATCTTTTGATAGGTTACTTCAGACTCTGCAGCAGGAACCCAAGGGCTGCAGTTTAGAGATGCCTTGATCAGTTGTCTAGTCGGATAAATGGTGCACTTGTCAAGTTGCCAAATCCTCATGCTCATTTTCCTGCTACTTAAAATTCAACTTTTAGGCAATGTTCCCACTTGTGGCTCATAATTATCACCCCTTGCCAGGTGCCATAACTAAATAATAGTTTATAAATAATCAAGTTGGGTTATTATTTACCTGTCCCGTGTCATAAGTTTGGATGATCCGTTGTTTTTTAAAGATTTATGTCTTTTCGTAAGAAACCAGTGGGTTCGGGGCTGAGTTGCCACAGCAGGGTTAAGGAAGTGGAAACTATATTAGACACGGACTAACACAGCTTCTTTTCAGTTTCCGTTTCATTGTTTATTGACATTGAGCAAATATGGAAAAACAACATCTTTGTTTTCTTTTAAATCAATTGTGTTAAATTGAATTACTCCTTCCATCTGTACATCAAATCCAGAGTTTTCGGCCCCAACATAGCCTGCAAACAACAACCATATCATGCAGTGGGATGAGCCAGCACAGTTAGATCATAGGTCACTTATATAACATTTACAACTGACAAACATACTCGTGGGTACGAGGGTTGATTTTAAATAAAATGCACGAAAACAGGGGTGGGTCCCAGTGTTACCCCTGCCTGAAAAGGAAATAGCAGGTGTTGAGGCATTGCCAAACTTCAAGATATTTTGAAGATGAGGCGCTTTCAAAGCTTTTGTCACTGTTCTTTGGACTCTGGGAAGAAAGCTGACTTTTTATTTATCACACAATACATATACATACATGTAGCAATATATCTATTTCTGGTGTTAAACCAAAAAAATTTCATGAACATTTATTCCCATTTCTGACAGTTACTCCTCTAAATTTGTACACCACTTGCTTTCAAACTAAATTAAGTAGGGGTTGTTCAGGTTTTTGCACTTAGAGGCAAGGTATTTTTTACATTTTACTTGATTTTAAAATGTTATGGAGGCCCTTTACTTGTATAGCGGCCTTCCTATCTTCTGCCCACTTCAAGCGCTTTTAAACTACGTGCAACTATTCCACCTTTCACACACATTCAACAGAGATGGCAAAGCCCATCGCAAGAAACTAACGATTCCATGACACATTCCACCCAAACCGCCGGTATCCGAGAGCATTGCGAGTTCAGATCTCTGCTCAAGATACTTTCGCATTTTGGCACCAGGAGCCGGGGATCGAACCAACACTTCTGAATTAGGGGCGACCCCCTTCTGCTCCTCTTGATCAACGGATCTTTCGTTTTCCATCCTCTATCACCTGCCAGAACATTATTTTAATGCATTTTAAGTTAAAAATTAAGTTTTATGATTTTCAGGATATGATTATTGCATTTTAACAGTTTCCATTCTTTTATGGCTTTACTTTATCTTGTTTTATTATCATGCTATTCATTTCATCATTTTAACACAGGCAAAGGAAGGTTTTTTTTAATTTCCCTTATTGACACAATATGCCTTGACTATAAGAATATTCCCTTATTATTATTATTATTATTATTACTTTTTTTCACTTTTAAATGTTGATAGTCAGCCTAACTGTCCTTATATTCTTTATCCAGAGGTGGTATGAGCCTATATGATTAAAAAAACCAAACTGAAGGCCTTTTCTTTACTTAAAGTTCTTCCAGATGTATAATACTCTCCTTTGAATAATTTGTGTCTAATATACTTGATTTTTTCCTAAACAGTTTCTGTATATTGCATCTGTTCCTTTATAGAATTCCGGATCTATGAAATTAACATGGTATTATTTCCAAGTTGAACTGCCTTGGACAAAGATGTTTCCAATAGAAGCTGTTCTCATGGGTTTAGGTTTTCAATCACACCAGTTGCACTAGTTTGCGATTGTTAGAACTGTGGCTCTTTACATAGACATGTTACTGACCATTTGGAGTGCGCATACACTGAGTTTTCAGTTAGATTAATGTTGGAAACAACTCTGCACAAACTTGCTCTGTTTTTGACCAGGAGTGGACTTTTTCCTCTTAACATTATGATCAAACATCACCACTCTTGCCTGTTATAAGATTATCTTGATCCGTCAATCGTAAGTTCAGAATAGATCATGCATTACAACGGGGTCTAATTGAATGTGATCACCCAGTGTGGTAAGCCCCCCAGCCGGGCAATGCGGCGAGATTTCATCTAAGCATGATGCTTAATAGATTGATGAATGGCTGCAGTAGTTTTGCTGCTACAGCATCGGACTATTGGGCGTGCTGCAGGGTTTGCTTCATGATTTTTTTCCACGCCGCTTTTTTATGCTAATCCGGTAAAAGGATGACCCCAAGACTATGGCGAATGTCAACAAAGTTGAAATCTAAAGTCAGGAGAAGGAAGTAAGTCTGTAGTTACCTGGCTCAGGTTGATACTTTATATCAGTAGGGACATAGGCTGAAAAAACAAAAAAAAAAGTAGTTTACTGAGAGAGAGCCGGTAAGGTTGTTGTTTCAATCAAGTCCAGTAGTAGCACTAGAGTGACGTTAGGTTACCAAGTGGAGTTTATATTCAAAATAGGTCTCTGTAATCCTCGCTGTTTCATTTCCAATAAACTTAACAGGCTTGGGCGCATACGGTCTGCACACAGCTAATTACGAAATTCGTTTGGAGCTTGAATAGTTATGGTAAATGTTAAAATGGACTGTACTTGTAAAGGTACTTTTCTAGTCTCTGACCACCAAAGCGCTTTCAACACACGTGCACATCCCCTTTTCACACCATTTTAACACAGCGATGGCAAAGCCAATCGAAGAAACTATCCATTCATGTACACATTTCCACCGATGCACGGCGAGCGGTTGCAATCGGGGTTCCAGTAATCTTGCCTCAAGGATATCTCGACATGTGCGGAGAGCCGGGGATCGACCAACTCTTGGGGCTACCACTCTGCCTCTGGCGCCATGCGTAAATAATGTAATCAACCATTTCTCTTAACGTAAAAAAAAGGGGAGAGAGCAATTCAAGGCTAATGTTTGGTGGACACGTTATTAAAGTAGTATAATATTAATATAAACCCATGGAGGGCCAGTTCAAGCTAATG